TGCCACACACCGTGGGGCGGCACATTCTGAGGATGCTGGAGTAGAAAGATGGGCAGAGCCTGGATTCCTGAAGGCAGGACCAAGGCACCACAGGAGGCCCCGGCACGGCCCCTGGGAAGAGGATCCCCATCCTGGTTTTGGCTTGAGCCCCCATGTTTGGCGCCTGTGTTACATGCAGCTAAGTGCACCCCTGATGCTCTAAGCTGCCATTTGCCTGCAGCCAGCCTCTCTGATTCTTGTTTTAATGTAACGATTTAGTTTTTTTTTTTGAAAAGCAGAGTGAAAGAAAGGGAGGCAGGGGAGAGATCTTCCATCTGCTGGTTCACTCCTAAAATGGCCACAAGCCTGCAGCCAGGAGCCTGGGACTCCATCTGGGTCTCTCTCCCGTGTGGGTGGCAGGGACGCGCGTACTTGGCCCATCTTCTGCTGCCTTCCCAGGCTGGCGAGCAGGGAGTGGCACAGCAGACTGTAACAGGGCCTCCAGGGTGGGACGCCATCTTGGCGGGTGGTGGCTCTGCCCGCTGCACCGCAATGCCTGTCTGCCCCTCCCAGATGCTCTCGGGGTGTCTTGTACAGTTTTCTGTCCCCACATCGAGGACCGCAGTGGCCTATTTGAACTAGTTATATAACTGTTAATGATAAGATTTCGCCCAGTAATGACCTCCTGAGCATCTCCTGATTGCTAGTGGTCTGACCTTTATGGCGGTCCAGGAACTAGACACGATTATTACCTTTAGTCTTACATGCAGAAGACAGAGGGTCAGAAATAGCCAACTGGGGCTGGTAATTGTGGCACAGAGGGGTTAAACCATTGCCTGTGTGCTGTGGCATAGCGGGTGAAGCCTCCGCCCATGGTGCCAGCATCCCATATGTTTGGCGGTTCGAGTCCTGGCTGCTCCACTTCTGATCCAGCTCCCTGCTAATGCACCTGGGAGAGCAATAGAAGATGCCCCAAGTGCTTGGGCCCCTGCACCTGTGTGGGAGACCCGGAAAAAGCTCCTGGCTCCTGGCTTCGGATCATCTCAGCCCCGGCCATTGCAGCCATTTGAGGGGTGAACCAGTGGATGAAAGACCCCTTTCTCCATTTCTCCCTCTCTCTCTCTCTAAACTAAACCTTAAAAAAAGAAAAAAGGAGTGAGCAGTGACTGGGTCAGAGAGACAAAGCCAGAAAGTGGAAGCTGGGCTCAGAACCCAAGCCCACCCAGCTCCAACACCCTACCTTCAGCTCACTGCACAGGAGGGGAAACTGAGGCTCAAGAGGGAGAAGGACTTGCCTGAGGTCACCCAGCGGCTTCAGAGGACTGCCCCTCAGGAAATCCGACCCTCTGTGTCCCCATTTCAGGGTTCCTTCTGTGACATCCTGCTTGAAGTTCAACTCGAGGTCTAGGGGCTGTGGGAGCTAACGAAGGTTGCAGGCAGAGGCAGGAGGGTGAGGCTGCAGAAGCAACTCCTCTTCCTTCAGCTGATGCGGGGGTCAGGGCTGACATGTCATGGCCCCAGTAACCCTCTGAGCCACCGTGGTCCCTCAGCCAGGCCAGCGCTCTCTCCCTGGGCTCCTCTGACCCCAGCCCCCGATGTGTGATGCTCTATGGATGAGGCGATGGTGTGGGCATGCTGGGGAGGGCGCCAGTGGTGTGACCGCTCGGCCATCCTGTGCAAATCAGTGCAGTGTAGACACCCAGGATGAGCGTGGGGGCTCTCCGCCTACCAGTCTCCTTGCTCGGCTTCCTTCCCGTCCCTGCTAGGATTTGGGTGTGTGTTTGAAAGATTCAGGGCTGGGGATGCAAGCGAGCCCGCGACAGACATAGCAGGGAGTTGAGTCGCAATGTCGACATCACACCAAGCAGGTTCCAGGTCTCAGCTGTACCACTCTTAGCCTGTGGGCTGCAGCAGGTCAGTTAGTTTTCCTCTTTACCAAAATGGGACAGGAAGAGAATCCACCTCCTGGGGCTGTGAGGAATTAGGAGGACACAGCTCCTCTTGGGGCTGCCGGGAGGGTGGTAATTCCAAGGATTGTGAAACACCTGTGCTTCTCTGTTCTCAGCTCCTCCAGGCTCCCCCACATCCCCCCTGCCCACAGCACCCCCACAGGGCACCCCTGTTCCCTACATGGTGCAGTCGGGCCTTGCAGTAGGCCAAGAAGGCGAGGGTGGGCACTCTTCATGACAGCCTCCTGCTCCGGGAGGAAATAGCAGGGAGCATTGGTCAAGAGGTGGCACTGAGCTCCTCTGGGGCTTGGGGGTGCCTCATAGAGCATCTTATCTCACCCCCACACGAACTCTTGCCGGAGTGGAAGGACATTACAAATGGGAAACTGAGGCCCACCAAGGGCTTTTAGCTGCTAAGGTCACACTGAGCAGTGGGGCTGGTGGGCAGGGGGCTGGGGCTGGAAGAGAAGTTGGGTTCATTCCAGAACTTTCCTGGCTGGCTGAGAAGCTGCCTGGAGAGGTGGGGCCGGGTGGGGCTGGGGCCCGGAGTGATTCAGGTAAGAGTCAGCTCTGGATTTCCAAATAATGGGTGGGGCCCAGCCAGGGTGAGACCTGTCCAGGGGCATTCAACTCTGGGCTCCAGCTCCGGTGGGCAGGAGCACATGTGGTGGGCATAGAGCAGGGGGTGGGGGCTGGCATGAAGAGAGGGAAACCAGCTGGATAGGGAAGGGGGGGTCTTTGTTGGCATAGCCAGGAGGGGCTGAAAGCTGAAGAGGGAGCTGTAGGTATGTTGGGGACGCTGGCCAGTGGGCCCGGCTGGGGAAGGCAGGGAAACTGAGGCAGGCACTGACACTTTCGGTGGCTGTCACAGCACATGACGGATGGGCAGCCACCTTAATGAGGCTGATCCTAGATCCCCACTCACTCCCAGAAGCTCTGTTCTCATGCATGCAGTTACTCATTCATTTCTTTATTTGAGCAACCGGCATCCATTGGACTGGACGTCTTCCACCTGCCAGGAGTGACCAAGACACTCACAGCCCAATAGGAGGGAGAGTGGGCAGTGCCAGGCAGTGTGGCACTGTCCCCACCAGGGAAGGCACAGGAGCTTCCTGGTTGAGAGCAAGAGGAGGGGGCTTCGCGGGGGCCCCTGGAGCTGGCCGTGCGCAGTGAGTGGAAGCCCAGCGTCCTGAGGACTAGGAAACAACCCTGGACATTCAGGCTATGGGCGCTGGAGGAGAGGGGCAGGGGCTGCTGGGCTGCTGGGCTCCTGGGCTGTCAAGGGCCAGGGCGGACCTCACCCCTGTGTATGCAGCTGGGGATCTGGCCACCGATGGGTCCCATTGCAACTCCACCTGCAGCCGGCCTCCCTCGCTGGCATTGTCACCAGCATGGCCAGGAGCCTGGTGCCTACCCCCTCTCTTCCCGGGATTCCAGCGCATCGTCCCACCTTCCCTCCTGTCTACCTCTCCGCCCACCCCACCGGAGCACTGTGCTGGAGCCCCCTCAAGCGAGGTGGGCAGCACTGCTCCCAGAGCCTGGCCATGGTGAGGGCCCCATCACTCCACACCAGAGCCAGTCCTGTCCCCGGAGACCCCGTGTTCCGGTCATTCTGGAGTTCACACAGGGAAACAGAGGCACAGGGACTTGACTTGGGGTCACAGCCATGGGAGAATGAGACTTGGATGCGCTTCTCTTCCCCACTGGGCCACCCGGCGTTTGTTTCCAGCACAGGTGGCTGGGTGGCTGGGGAGGATGGTGTTGGCAGGAGCTGTGGGTGTGGTAACTGACAAGGCCAAAGGCCCCAAGGCAGGGAGGGCCTGGCACGGGAAGGTGGGATTGTGTTCAAGCTCCTCGCGCCTGTCTTCATCCCCAGGAAGCCCCCGTTCCTTTGGGCAGCTGGCCCCAAGTCACCAGCCTTGACCCCGTTCTCTTGTCTTCTTGTCCCTTCTGGGCAGTGACCAGGGACCCCTCCAGCTGGCATGGATCCCAGAACCCCAGGGCCCCAGCCATCTGGGGTCTGCCCCGGCTTGCTCGGTCTGCCTGGGAAGCTGGCTTCTGTCCCAGTGGAGCACAGGAGCTGCAGCTGGTGGTGGTGGCGGGCCTCCCTGCCAGGTCTCACCTCTGCCACCGGGCCTGGCTCCCATTTGGCACCCAAGGGTGCCTGGGAGCTGGCACAAAGACCTCTGAGCCCTTTGCCAGGAATTCCCACTTCCCAGGCCAGCAGGATGTACAGGGGAAACTGAGGGAGACAACCCAAGGGCGTGAGGACCAGGACACCGTGTGACCTTGGGCCTGTCCCCCTCTCCCTTCTAGACTCAATTTCCACAGCGGTGAGGAGGTGCTGATGTTGGGGTTCTGAAAGTCGCTGGTGAGTGTAGGTCTGGCCGGTGCCCCTCCCCCCACACCCAGGCCGGCCTCTGTGACAACAGCACCTCCCAGGGACAGCACCTGGAGATTCCTGCGCATCACTTCTGGGATGGCTGCTGTCATTCTGCCCATTTTGTAGATGAGAACATTGAGGGCCAGAGAGGACAAATACCTCGTCCAAGGTGACACAACTGGGAGGCTGTGGAATCTGGGTTTGAACTTGGGTCTCCTGGACTCGGAGCCTGAGCTGTCTTTCTCATGGGGTCTGCCTGCCCAGTGGCAGGTTTCCCTTCCAGGAACCCACGTGCAGGCCGGCCCGACTGCCCGGCCGCCAGCCCCTTTCTCTCCTGGGCAGGTGGCTTCACCCAGCAGCTTCCAGCCTCAATCCTGTCCCCAAGCCCTGGGAGACCCTCGGCATTGCTTCTGGCCTCAATTTCTTACCTGCCACACGGTCACGTTTCGGTGCCACCTGGCCTTCCAAGCTCAAGTGCCCTTAGTGGCAATCATAGGACAATCAATCAAACAGCTGGCCTGCGCGGGGCCAGGGGAAGTGAGCGGCCGCGAGGTGACAGCGGGAGGGAGGGGCGGGGGTGGAGCCGCGGGATGGGTGGGGAGGGGGCGGGCCAGGCGGCCCGGAGCCGGGGCCGCCTTAGGAAGCGCCCAGGGAGGGAGCCAGCCGTCTGCGTCCCGCAACCATTAGCCGCCCCACGCCATGAGTCGTGAGTCCGGGCCCGATGCCCCTGCGCGCCCAGGGACCCTCGCGGCCTCGCGCGGGGCCTTGAGTGCCAAGCACAGCCGCTGTCTCTCCTCTGCAGGGAGCAGCCCCTCGCTCCGGCTCCCGGTGCTGCTGCTGCTGCTGCTGCTGCTGCTGCTGCCGCCGCCGCCCCCGGTTCTGCCTGCGGACCCTGGGGCGCCCGCGCCAGGTAGGGGTCCCTTCCCTGCCCTGGTCCCCGCCTCCGCCTCTCCTCCTCCGCCGGCCAGGTTTCTCCTTTTCTGCCTGCAGTGCCTGGGCATGGGGAGGGGGTTTGGAAGACCCTCGGGAGTGTGGCCTTGGCGAGGGGGATCTCGCGCGGCGTGGGCAGCAGGGACAGCTGCCCTCAACAGCCCCTCACCTGTTCCGGGCGCTCCGCTGTTTTCTGCGGGGGCCGGCGCCGGGGGTGTTCGGGGGGAGTTGGAGGGTAAGAGCGTAGCCTGTGGCAGCCTTGAACTTTCTGGGGTTCCGCGAACACCGAGGTGGAAACGCACGTGTAGCTCCCGCGGCTTCCTCAGGGGTGTAAGCCTCAACCGCGAGGTCCCGGTGGGGCAGATGGGGAAACTGAGGCTCAGGAGGAGCCATGGCGTGTCCTGAGCTCAGGATTTGAACCGCGGTCTCTCCAACTTCAGGCGCCTTGCAAAGCCTCCCCCCAGAGCCCTCCCCTCCGTGCTGCCCACAGTGGATCCCGGGTTCCTCGGGGCTCCGTGGCCCACAGGTCGATGGGAACGTCAGATTCCCGGAAAATTCCACCCCTCCCTCCCCCACACGCCCAGGACCCAGGTGGAGGAATTTGCTCCTCTCTCAGCCAGCTTTCCTCCTCCTGGGGCTGCGGCCTGGACCTAGCGCCCTCCACCTGGGGGCCGGGGGGGGGGGCATGTCTGCCTGTCCCCGGGGCTTGGTTCCCATCTGTGAAATGGGGTCAGGAGAGGATGGGGTGGGGGAGCCGTTCTGAGCCTCCGCAGCGGTGTGCCAGGGATTTGGGGCTCAGGGGCACCTCTGCAGACTGCCAGTCAGACCAGGCTTGCATGGGTGCGTCTGGGGCAGCCGGGGAGGATGTGGACTGGGAGAGCTGAGTGAAAGCCTGGTTTGTGGCCGGCTGGGGAGGAAGCTCCGTGTGGCCGGCTTGGCAGCCACTTCTTCCCTGCTCACGACAGCCCCGCTGAGGGCTAGAGCCAGACCCACTCGACACCAGGGGCCTCGGAGGCCTCGTGGCCAGTGGCTGGTGCTCGCCCTTGGGCTGGTTCCATGACCATCTCCTAAGAGCCCAGCACTTCCTCTGAGGCCCCATCTGCCCCATCCGGGTCCTCAGAGGTGCACAGGCCCCAGCCTGCCCGTCTTCCTAGGGCTGCTCTCTGAGGCACAGCGGGCTCCTGTCTTGCCTTTTCCTTCTTTGATATGTAAGGGTTTGATTGCTTTTGTTGACATTTCATACCCCTGCTTTAGGCCAGGGGAAACTCACCGTCTGATGGTGGCGACAGAGATGCCAACAGATGGTCACTGCCGGGGCTCAGGGTCATGGCTGAGGGACACTCCGTGGGGTGCAGAGCTTAGGGCACAAGCAGCTGCCTGTCTGCAGGGAGTTGAAGGGGGCTTCCTGAAGGTGGTGGTATTTGAACGGGACCTTGCAGGAGATGCTGGGTGAGGCCTGATTTTCTGATGCAAGCCATGGGCATGAACCGGGGCACAAAGTGAACAGCGAGGGGCGGGCGGGTGACAGGGAGCTGCAGGGCGTGAGGCAGGGGCTGGGTGGAGGGGATGCAGGATGAGGTTCAGGGGCTTGGGCTGTGGGTGACAGGAGGGATGGATGAGGCTCTTCCCAGGACCCAGGAAAGACCGGCTGACAGGTCCGTGCAGGGGCAGAGGGTTTGGGCTGCCTTGGTTTTGAGCGGAGGCCCAGACTCCCTGGGCACCTGCCCCAGGAAGCTGAAGCCTGGTTTGCCCCTCACCCCCATCCCCCACCGAGGGGAAGCAAAGGAGAGGAGGAGATGAGGGTGCAGGCTCACCGGGGCCGGAAGGTGGCTGCATGGAACGCTGCTCCTGCTTCACCTGGGGGGACAGCCGGAGTCCAACTTGCCAGGCGAGGCTGTGCCGGGGGATCCTTCACGTTCAAGTCCAACCCCTCCAGCCCCTGGATTTGGCCGAGTGCCCTCTCCCGAGCTAGGGAGTAGGCATGACCTGGCAACCAGAGCTGCGTGCCAGGCGGAAGAGCGGAGGGCAGCCAACCCTGGCACGTGGGGCAGGAGCCCAGCCGGGGCCGGGGCCTCTCTGCTGCCGCCTATCTCCAGCACCAGCTGAGGCTGTGAGCCGGGAGGGGCTTCCTCTCCAGCCGGGCCCTTCCTGCTGCTGGCACCCAGGACGGTGGCGCCTGGCGTGGAGCTGCCTGCACAGCAAAGTGCAAGGACTGGAGCCGCCCCCGCTCCCCGGCCCCAGTGGCTCAGAGCCCATGGTTTTCTCTTGGGCTAGGAGGCCCCCCGAGCTTCTCTAAATATTATTCTTAGGGGATTTGGGGCCAGCCTCCCTAACTGGCCTCTCCAGAGCCTGCCGCCTCCGCCTCCCAGAGGACTTGGTGTTCCCTGGCTGTGCCTGTCCCGCCTCGGCCCTCATCCTGCTCAGCCCTGAGCCTGGAGCCTCAACTCTTGGCCCCGGTGGGTAGGGGGTGGGGACATTTCCTTGCCCAAATCTTTGGAGAGGTTTTGGAGCCGGGAAGTCCCAGACAGTCGTCGTCTACGGGGACACGGTCCAGCTGCTTGGTGGTCAGACCTCGTGGGCAGTGCGGGTTGGGGATCACCCCTGCCTCGGGGGCCATGAGCACGCAGTGCGAGCAGGTTGTAGGGGTCTCTGCTGATGGGGTAAGGGTGGCGTGGGCGGGACATACTGAAGAAATAACCAGGGAAGGCGGGAGGATCGGCTCCAGCCGGAGCAGGTTCCTGGAAGCCTTTGAGCTCGCCTGCTCCATCCTTTCCGTGGGAGATACAGGAAATGAGGCCCTGAGGGTGGAAGAGACGTGCCGAAGGACACAGAGCCTCCCTCTCCAGCGCCTGTGCTGGCTGTGGGGTACTCAGGTGCCTGCAGCTCCCCCGGCTCTCTTTCTTGATGGTTTAGGGGTGTCCTCCACTCAGCACAGAGCGAAGTTGACATAAAGCATGTGGAATTGAGGTTAGACTGAAGGAAGGCCTTCCCGTCACACTCCTCAGAGAACTGCGGCGGCAGGGGATGCTGACTGCGTGCATTCAGGATTCTCCAGGTTCTCCTTGAAGGAGCAGGGAGACACCGACCTCACCTGGGCTCACTCCCTGCCTGTGGAGCCAAGCAACTTCCTTTCCCTCTCTTCTGGAACTCCAGGCCTGGGCACCTCCAGGAGGAGGAAGGGAGGGGAGGAGAAGGGAGTTCAAATCTTGGCTCTGCTACTTGGAAGCAGTGGGGCTTCAGCAAGCCTCTGAGCCTGGGGGTCCTCCTTGTGCTCCATCCCGGGGAGGGCAGAGCAGGTTCCGTGGGCACCGAAGGTCTCGGGCTTGGTCTGCTGGAACCCTGGCGTCCCCCAACCGTGACAGCCAACCACCCCAGCGCCCTAGGGCCCAGGCAGCAGCTGGTGCCCTTGCTGGGGAGAAGTTCTCCTGCCTCAGGGCAGCTGGTGTTTATGGAAAGAATGTGGGGGAGGGGGAGGGACAGGCCGTGGTGGGGGAGGGGCCGCAGCTCCCTTGCGATGGCCTCTCTTGGCAGGAGAGGGTTGTGGGCAGCAGCTTCGGGTCAGGAGCGTGCGGCCCTTTTGTCTGCTGGGGCTACAGCAGGAAGCCCTCTGGTGAGATCACCGAGGCGTCTGGGAAGGTGAGGGAGTCTCTCTGGCCCGGCTACAGGCGGGCCCGGCTCCCCAAGTCCTTTTATTAATTGCACAAACATTTGTTCAGCTCTGGCCAGCACATCTGGATCCCGAGGCTGAGCCCTCGCTGTGTCAGGGAGGAGAAAGCCAGGGAAGGTGTGGCCGCTTCTCTTGGACACTCGTGGTGGAGAGAGCCCAGAGCCAGGGCCGGGATGGGTAGGGAGAGTTAGTGAGGACATTTTGGGGGGCTTCCTGGAGGAGGCAGGTGGAAGGGCCAGGCCAGGTGGGTAGATCGGGCGGGGAGGTGCTTTAATTAAGCTGTGGGGCTCAGAGAAGGGGCGTCCACGGCACGTCTGGGCTGTGGGAGGATTGGGGAAATCAAGGCTGGGAAGAGGCACCGGCTTCAGCCTTGTGCCTTGGAGTGGAGGAGGGGCCCCTGGTGCCAGAGAGCCTTGTGTTGGAAGCTGGGCAGCAGGGAGCAGGGGCGCTGTGGGAGCAGGAGAGCCCGTGTGGGGAGTCCCAGCAGGGGTGAGACATCCTTTCTCAGAGGGACCAGGTCCTGCAGGCAGGTCCTGCAGGCAGCCCAAGGCTGATTCCCAGGCTCCCTGGTGCTTCTGGGCCTGTGGCTGTGGAAGGGGAAGCTGGGCCTGGGTCCCGCCAGCCTGCAGCAGCCTGATAAGACCTTTGTGCCTAAGCCTCTTCCCCTCGGCCCCTCCCGCCATCACCCCTGCCCAGGCCACACAGATGCCATTGTGGGGCCGTGGGGAGTCGCCAGGGCTTAAGCAAAACTATTTGCATGATTCTTGAGAGTCTCTGTGTGGGAGTGGTGTGTGGGGGGCCCTCTCTGTGTGTGGCAGGAAGTGGGGGGCAGGAAGACCTTGCTGCCCAGGGCCCAGCCAGAGACCTCAGGCCAGGCCTTGCCCGGGTCATGCCCTCCGACTGCAGCACCCCGAGGCGACCGAGCCAGCGTGGGGGTGAGTGGGTGTCCCAGGCTGCTCCTGCACTTTGCTACCCTCTTGACCCCCTGTAGTCAGTTGCACAAGTAATAAAAGTTCCCTGTAACTTTGGCTCTGAGCCCAGAGAGAAAAGAAGTATGTTTGCAGAAGGGATTCTGGTATTTTCTGTGCACAGCCAGGGAACCAGGCTCCCACCGGGAGCCCAAGTCCTGGGCCCTTGGCCAAGCCACCGGCTCTCCCGGAGCCTCCCTGTGCTGAGTGTGTGTGTGTGGCACTCTGCAGGGGGTGGGGGGGAGGTGGACCCCGGGGACCCAGGGGCGCCTCTCAGAGGGCAAGGGGGCAGCGGTCAGGGAGGTCTTGCTCGGGACGTTCCCAGGAGGCTGTCCAGCCGCGTGTCCCCTGCCCCCTGGGTGCATGGCCTTCCTCAGGCCCCTAGGGTCGGACACCACCCCGACTTGGGCTGGCGAAGACCCGAAGCCTTCGTCTGTTCTCAGGGTTCTGGATGATTGGACTTGATCGCCACGTCTGTGGCGGTGGAGTGGAAGTGAACGGGTGGCCAGCCGGCCAGGTGTGGCTTTCTGGCTTTCCTTTTCTCTGGCCTCAGTTTCCCCACCTGCAAAGTGGGCATTACATTTGTCCTTTGTTCCCTTTGGTAGAAGTGCAGGGATGGTGCAAAATCCCATTTTCTCAGAGCTGGGGGTGGGGGTGGGGGTGGAGCTGGCCTGGGGGGAAGTCCCCTCCCCACCCTTGCCCCTTTTCTGGATGCCCAAACCCTGCCTTTACTGTGGGCTTTGACGGGCAGGAAGCGAATGATCTAGAAGCCAGTGGCTGCAGCGGCTTATCATCATGCCTCGTTCCCCTTGTTGGCAGCAGGGAGGGCGGGGACTTCCCATGTGGGTGCGACCAGGGCCAGGGCCTGGCATGGCAGGCGAGGGGCGAGGGAGAGCCCCTAGCGGAACTCTGACGTCAGAGAGGTGTCCCCCAGCGACTTAGGACAGAGCTGCCGCTTGGGGCCGCGCCTTTGGCCCCTCCCTCCCCATCGGGGGCTGGGTGGGGGTCAGGAGGTGCCCCTGGCATGGTCTCTGATCCCCAATTCTCCCCCACAGTGAACCCCTGCTGTTACTTTCCATGCCAGCACCAGGGCGTCTGTGTCCGCGTCGCCCTTGACCGATACCAGTGTGACTGCACCCGCACGGGCTACTCTGGCCCCAACTGCACCGTCCGTGAGCCCTGCTTCCAGCCCCTTCCCCCTGCAGACCCCCACTTCCTGCCCTCCTCCCTCAGGGCTTGAGCCTGGCCCACCCGCTCGCCCCAGCCCTGTGCCCTGGACTGCACATCCAGCCCTGGCCCTGGCACGCGGCATCATTCCCAAGGCCCCAGCCTTACCCCCTGCCCCTGCCCAGCTCCCTGCCGGCCCTCAGCCCTGGCTACCTCCCATCCCACCGGGAGGGTCACCCTCGCGTCCCCCCACAGCTGACCTCTGGACCTGGCTCCGGAGCTCCTTGCGGCCCAGCCCCACGTTCGTCCACTACCTGCTCACACACGTGCGCTGGTTCTGGGAGTTTGTCAATGCCACCTTCATCCGGGACACGCTCATGCGCCTGGTCCTCACAGGTGGGTGTGGGAGCGAGGACGTCTGCCAGTTCTGACAGGGGCGGTGGGTGGAGAGAGCGCAGGGGGAGGCGCGGGGCGGCGGAAGCAGCCGCAGCACCGTGGTCACCGCTCCTGTCACCCTCCGCAGTGCGGTCCAACCTCATCCCCAGCCCCCCGACCTACAACTTAGATTACGACTACATCAGCTGGGAGGCCTTCTCCAACGTGAGCTATTACACGCGCGTTCTGCCCTCCGTGCCCAAAGACTGCCCCACGCCCATGGGCACCAAAGGTAACGGACACGGGCTGGGGAGCCGGGCCCGAGGGTCACAGGGGGCACCCGGGTCTCCTCTTGGCGTGGAAGCAGGTGGAAGAGCAATAACCGACGCATTTTGCAGACAGGCAGACCTAGGCAAGGCGTATGCCCTGTCCAGAAGCAGGGATGAGGACAGGCGAGGCAGCAAAGAGGCAGGTCTGGCTATCGTGTCTTATTTCCAGGGCGCCTCTTGGCTGGCACCCGGCCTGCTGTGAGTGGGATCCTGCCGGCGTGGGACTGACTTCGAAGTTGAGATGTAGGAAGGGAGGAAGAGTGCGCTGTTTATTAGGTGATAACTCCGTGTTAGATAGCTTTACGTGCTTCACCAGGGTGGAGTGCAGATAAGTTCACATTTTTTTTTCTTCGTTATTTGCCCAAGACCTCACTTGGTCTCGTTGGCAGGGGTCTTGCTCCCAAGGTCGTCTACCCGTTCCAAACCTAGTGATAATTTAGAGTTCAGAGAAAGCCCAAGTCCACCGCTGTTATTTCAGTCACGGCCACACGGTGTCGCTGTTTAACGCTGGGTCCGTGCAGCCCCATGGTTGTGCTTAGGCGGCTTTAGCGCCTTGCACGTGTAATCGGTCTCTGCCTTATTTTTATTTATATACATATGTATATTTGACATAAAGAGAACAGTTTGTCTACTTGGATGGTTTCAGTCACACGATCAGCTATTATTCCAATGTCACGACTGTTCTGCCGGGTTAGCTGGATCAATGCTGACCACTCTCAGAGAATGAGGATTCCAAATTGTGAGGTGTGGGGCAGTCCCTCTAACTTCCCCCTTGGAGAGTCTCCTCTGGGTGCTCGATAGCGCTCCCTGCTGGAGGGTCCAGGGGAGGCCATTTCAATCCAGATTATTTCAGCACTGGGCCTCACATAAAGTATTGTGGGGGAACACTTTTGCAAGAGCGAGCCACTTCTCTTAATTCCTTTCTGAGGGCCTTGGGTGCAAATTCATCTGACATTAACATAATTAGGAAAGTCCTCTCAATACTCCTCATAATGAGAGACACCCACTTCAAGCTGATGCCTGCATGAAGGCATTTGAAACAGGGAGGCATGGCTGCCATTTGGCCCAGGGGCCAGGACGCTGGTTAAGGTGCTCCCATTGTCTGAGTCTGAGCCCCAGCTCCGGCCCCTGTTTTCACTTCCTTCTGATGCAGAGCCCGGGAGGCAGCAGGTGACGGCTCAGGTAGCTGGGTTCCTGCCACCCACACGGGAGACCTGGATTGGGCTCCCAGCTCCCAGCTTCAGCTCCCAGGCCACTGTGGGCATTTGGGAAGTAAAGCAGTGAGCAGGAACTCTGCCTATCTCTGTCTCTCAAAGAATTAAACAAAACCTTAAAGATAAGATAGATGGGCAAGCTCTGTCCTGCAGGCCAAATCCAATCGGACCCTGTGTGTGGAAAGGCAGTGTTGCTGGAACACAGTCCTGCTTGCTTGTTTCTGGGCCGCCCATGGCTCCTTCCCGTCACAGCCGCGGGACTGGGGGGCTGTGACGCTGACCACACGGTCTGCACTGCCTCGCGTGTTTACTCTCTGGCTTTTCATCAAACGAGTTTGCTGAGCCTTGATTTAAAGGATTCTACTTCACCAGTTTTTTTTTTTTTTTTAAGTTTATTATTTATTTTAATTATTTGAAAGGGGGAGAGGGGGAGAGAGAGAGACTCCAAATATTGGCTTATTCTCCAAAACCCCACAGCAGTTGGAGTTGGGCCAGACCAAAGCCAGGAGCCTGGAGCTCAATCCAGGTCTCCCTCATGGGTGGCAGGGACCCAGTGTTCCCCACCCCAGGGTCTGCATTAGCAGGAAGCTAAAATCAGAAGCAGGGTGGGACTCCAACCCAGGCACTCAGGGGCTGGCGCTGTGGCGTAGCGGGTAAAGCTGCCAACTGCAGTGCCGGCATCCTATATGGTTGCCAGTTCAAGTCCCGGCTGCTCCACTTCTGATCTAGCTCTCTGCTATGGCCTGGGAAGAAGTGGAAGATGGCCCAAGTCCTTGAGCCCCTGCACCCACATGGGAGGCCTGGAAGAAGCCCCTGGCTCCTGGCTTTGGATCAGCCCAGCTTGGATTGGTTCAGCCGTCTGGGAATTGAACCAGCAGATGAAAGACCTCTCTCTCTCTGCCTCTGCCTCTCTGTAACTCTGCATTTCAAATAAAAAAATAAATCTTTAAAAACAAAAAACGCAGGCACCCTGATATGGGATGCAGTCATCCCAAGCAGTGTCTTAACTCCCACGCGAAACGGCGGCCCCAGCGCGCCAGTTTTCTGTGACGCTTAGTCTCTCGTGCAGCCCTGAAAGCCACTGTCTGGGACAGCTGTCGATTGCCTCATTCGCAGATGAGGAAACTGTGGCTCATAGAGAGAAGCTGACTTACCTACGCTGACATAGCCGGCAAACTGCGCAGCCGGTCACGGTCACGGTCACGGCCACAGGAGTCCCTGCTCTTCTTTCCTTCTTTCCTTAATTGGTTTCCCCTTGGGAAAAGTTGCAAATCCACACAGAAACCAAGAGGAACATGTAACGGACTCTTGTGCCCGTCTCTTGGTTTCAACACTTAACTCCAATTTGCCAGTCTTATTTCAGCTGTCTCCTCTCAGTTCTTTTTTTAATGGAGGAATTGTAAAGCAGATCCCAGAGGTTACGCCGTTGCACCCGCACCTCCCTCCAGGGTCTTTTTGTAGACAGAACATGGGGGGGTGGGGCGGACATGGTCCTAAGGAACCGTGCTGGCTGCCGGCTCGGACGTCTTCCTGGCGAGGCCGGAAGCCCCCAGGGTAGGGGCTCCATACGGGATCTGGAAGCAGCTACTGCTCTTTCCTGCCTCCCCGACCAGGGAAGAAGCAGCTGCCAGACGCCCAGGTCCTGGCCCACCGCTTCCTGCTCAGGAGGACGTTCATCCCAGACCCCCAAGGCACCAACCTCATGTTTGCCTTTTTTGCACAACACTTCACCCATCAGTTCTTCAAAACCTCTGGCAAGATGGGTCCTGGCTTCACCAAAGCCTTGGGCCATGGGGTGAGTAACCAGCAGGGGCTCAGCACCCCCCTGGGCCTCCCTTGGCACGTGCTGGTCATTGGCGGTGCAGCCCCGGTGGTCTCAGCGGAAACCACCCCCGTCTGCAGGTGGACCTCGGCCACATTTACGGAGACAGCCTAGAACGGCAGTATCACCTGCGTCTCTTTAAGGATGGGAAACTCAAGTACCAGGTAGGGCTGGGCCTAGAGGTGGGGTGGTGGGAGCGGCTTCTTGGGGAGTCCACTAGTGAAGGCTGCTGGGGGGTCCCCGGGTCGTGTCCGAGGAGGGGCAGCTCCTGCTGTTCCATGAGGAGAGACGGTGAACCCCGGGAGGAGGGCCCATGAGGGGCAGACGTGGCCTCTTGCGTGGTCTGGGGAGGTGGAATTTGGAGCTCAACAGGAGCTGGGCATTTGCAGCCTGTAGCATTCATTTAACCAGGAACTGCGGTGTGCCTGGCACAGGTGACAGTGACCATGGTCTGTGACCACAGCCACACAAGCACTAGGACTGTGTAGCACAGCACTGTTCAGTGGCGATGTGGTGTGGGTCACATGTGTAATTCAAGGTCCTGGTGGCCACGTTAAATAAGGGTGATGAGGAGGAGGGGGACTTGGGGGAGAGGAAGGAGGGAAGTATGGTCCTTTTAGAATTATATCTATGAAATACATGAAATCTGTTCTCTTTATATTAATAAAAATTATAAAAACATAATTGCCTAAAATTAGCAAATGAATAAACCCATACCAATGGCCACAAAAATGAAAAAAGAATAAAAGAACTCACAAGGACCAGATGGATTTTATGTCTTTTACTTAATGCAACACATCCAGAATACTGTTTCCACCTGCCATTAATAAGACACCTCCCATTCTTTTTCTCATGATCCATCTTCAAAATCTGGTATGTGTGTTACACTCACAGAACACCTAAATTCAGACGCTAGATTTTCTTTGGAAAGAACTGAACTGTGAGTAAGTAGATTCCCATGTCCAAGCATATTGTTCAAGCACAAGTAAAGGTTTTACAACAGCTAAATACCAGTTTTAAATTGTGAATCCAGCGACAGGTGTTCGCTGTAGTGCTAAAGAGAGCACTTGGGACGCCCGCATCCCGTGTTGGAGTACCTGGGTTCAAGTCCCAGCTCTGTTTCTGATCCCACTCTCCTCTAATGGGCACCCTGGGAGGCAGCAGATGGTGACACAAATGAATACTTGGGTCCCTACCACCCTCATGGGTGACCTGGGCTGAGTTCTTGGCTCCTGTCTTTGGCCTGGCCCAGCCCTTACTATTGCAGGCATTTGGGGAGTGAGCCAGTGGGTGGAAGATCTTTCTCTGTCATGTCTGTTTCTGTGTCTTTCAAATTCAATAAATAAAAATTTAAAAATATAAGCCTAAATCAGTAACATCAGAGTTAAAGAAAATCCAACAAAATTCAATTCTTCGCTCACACTAGCCAACTCTCTAGTACTCAGGAGCTGCAGGCTCCGAGTGGCTACCCATACTGGAGTGTGCAAATCTAAGCAAGGCCAGGGCAACCAGCTGTGATAACAGCCAGGGAGGAGAAGGTGCAGGTGCCACCAGTGTTCAGAGGGTGGGGAAGACTCCCCTGGGAGGTTACGAGTGCCCAGAGTTGCATGAAAACAGGAGGAGGAGGTGTTGGGGTGGGGACACAAAGAGGAAGGGGCTTGCTTGCAGCAGAGGGCTCCTGTGCGAAGGCTCGGCCCTGGGGAGTAGTGGGGGGCAGCTCAGAGGGGCACCAGCGTGGTGTGTTTGCTGAACCTGGTGATGGAGGTGAGGGTGCGGGGGCCAGGGGAAGGAGTTCTGATGTCTGCCCAGAGCAGAGAGCCCTAGGATGAGGTTTAAGTCCGGGGCTGGTCATTTTACGAAGGCTGCTCAGGCCGCGGTGTAGTGAGTGGGCTGTCCAGGAGTGTGACGGCATAGGGAGCCCACTTCCGGAGAGAAGCCGGGCTGGGAAAGAAGACTGGGTTGGAGTAGGACAGCGGCAAGAGAGACAGATCAGGGGACTGATTGGAAGCCTTGGTTGAGAGCCCGGCAGCTGGAAGCAGGAGTCAGCTGGGGGTGCCCCTCCTCCCCACCCCACCCCCGGTGGCCAGGTGTCCCCATCCCACAGGTGCTGGATGGAGAGGTGTACCCGCCGTCGGTGGAAGAAGCACCCGTCCTGATGCACTACCCGCGGGGCGTGCCGCCCCGGAGCCAGATGGCCGTGGGCCAGGAGGTGTTTGGGCTGCTGCCCGGGCTCATGCTCTATGCCACGCTCTGGCTACGTGAACACAACCGCGTGTGTGACCTGCTAAAGGCCGAGCACCCGACCTGGGACGATGAGCAGCTCTTCCAGACTACCCGCCTCATCCTCATAGGTGAGGCCCGGGCTGGCCTGAGGGGCACAGCGCGGGGCTGGGAATCCCAGCTATTCTGCTTAGCAGCCGTGAGCGCCTGGGCGGGCGCCTCTTCTCCTGGGAGCTGCGCTCTCCGAACCTGTACGTTGGATGCCTGATGCTGAGACGCTCAATGGGAAGGCGGCCAGTGCCTAGCAGGCATTCAGAAAGTGCAGGGTGACTGGCAGCTCCTTTGATTGGTCGTTTCCAATGCAGCTTCCGCATCACACACACTGCACCTGGGCGCACGCTGTGTCCCCAGCACGTGCAGGGTCAAACGCCAGCTTGCCCAGACTTCAGGATTCTTCACGTGTCCTGCCCTGCGTGTGTCTGCCTTCTTGGAGTGCAGGAGCTCCTAGGAGACTCAGGACAGGATATTTTAGTGTCCCCTACGGGGGCGAGTCTGCAGCCTGAAATGTCAGCTGGTTTCCTGCTTGGGAACTTGGCCCCTGCCAGCCCTGTCCAGACCACATTCCCTCTGACTCACTGGTCACTTCCTTCTCTCTCTTCTGGGCACCACTGGGCACGGCTGGTCTCAATTATAGCGCCTGATTCACTGGGACCCAGAAGAGCCAGGCATCAGGGATAGAGGCTCTGAAGTCCCCACCCGGCAGAGATCTTGGCCAGAGAGGGCAAGTCTGTGTCTGGGAGCTGCCCAGCACACCGGGTGGTGATGGAGTTGTGTGTAAAAGCAGCATCCCTGAGACTCTGCACGTCCAGTGCCTTGTTCAGCATCCTGAGCACCTCATGAACCAGGTGTGATGATCCTGCTGGAAATTAAGATTCAGGCTGGCGCCGCGGCTCACTACGCTAATCCTCCGCCTTGCGGCACTGGCACACCGGGTTCTAGTCCCAGTCGGGGCGCCAGAATCTGTCCTGGTTGCCCCTCTTCCAGGCCAGCTCTCTGCTGTGGCCAGGGAGTGCAGTGGAGGATGGCCCAAGTGCTTGGGCCCTGCACCCCATGGGAGACCAGGAGAAGCACCTGGCTCCTGCCATCAGATCAGCGCCACGGAGGCCATTGGAGGGAGAACCAACGGCAAAGGAAGACCTTTCTCTCTGTCTCTCTCTCTCTCACTGTCCACTCTGCCTGTCAAAAAAAAAAAAAAAAATACGATTCAGGAAGGCTGAGTTATTCTCCAGGGCCACTCGGCAGAGGGAGACTTGCCCTAGGTCTGGCTGCCCCCCCCCCCCCCAAGTTCCCTTTCCTGAGACTGAGCTGCTGCGAGGGGCGAGTATGGGCGGGGGATTCTCCCGCACTCCTGCACTCCACCTCCAGCTTCTGCCCACGCACACGGAGACTCCCTGTATGCCAGGCCCTCCCTGTGCCCGGCAGTTGAGATGAATCCATTTTTTTCTGTCCCTCGCCACGACCTTGTGGGTATTGTAAGTGACATTGCCAAAGTGGCACAGACTACAGATGAGCAAATCCAGGGTGATAGAGATGAAGGAACCTAGCAGCTGGACCGGGTGAGGCCAGGCGGTGGGCCCAGCCCTGCTGATTCCCGATTCCATGGCTCTGGGTCAGTTTGCCAAAAGCCAGTTGGCCAAGTTTCTCTTCGTATCCAGTTGACCAGTCATCCTCCTCTCACAGAATGTGCAATTGCTTCTCCCCCGCTTGGTTTGCTTTGTAGCTGGTTCCCGAGCGGGCAGAGGAGGACTCTGGTCCTAAGAATTCTGACATAGAAGAAAGACTTTTTTTGGAGACGTGTTTGGGACTTGGCTCAGCATCTGGCCGCAGGGTCCCTCTTTGGCTGCAGTAGCAGTAGCCCAAGTTATCTCTTCCAAGCCCCCTCCTCACTCGCCCCCTCCCCAGGTCAGCCCTCCACTTTTCCACTTTTCCATCTCCTATGGTCTCCCCCGCCTCTTTTTTTTTTTTTTTTTTGACAGGCAGAGTGGACAGTGAGAGAGAGAGAGACAGAGAGAAAGGTCTTCCTTTGCTGTTGGTTCACCCTCCAATGGCTGCCGTGGCTGGCACGCTGCGGCCGGCGCACCACGCTGATCTGAAGGCAGGAGCCAGGTGCTTCTCCTGGTCTCCCATGGGGTGCAGGGCCCAAGCACTTGGGCCATCCTCCACTGCACTCCCTGGCCACAGCAGAGAGCTGGGCTGGAAGAGGGGCAACCGGGACTAGAACCCGGTGTGCCGGCGCTGTAAGGCGGAGGATTAGTCTGTTGAGCTGCAGCACCGGCCTCCCCCGCCTCTTTGTAATGGGCCATGGGTGGGTGGTCCCCCAAGGGTCACAGCACCAGTTCTCGGGCCCCTCCTTTGCCAGTCCTGCTCAGGCATAGTCCCAGGTGCTCTTGTCTTGGGATCCAGTCTAACCCGGGATGGAAAGTTCTATTTTCACATCCCCTTACAAAGAGATGAAGTGGCCAAATAAGATTAGACAACAGCGACAAAGACGAGTGAAAAGCCAGCACTCTCCCAGCGGTGTCCGAGTGTCCGGACGCCCTGACCCTGCTCCCAACCTCCGCCTGCACAGGGGAGACCATCAAGATCGTCATCGAGGAGTACGTGCAGCAGCTGAGCGGCTACTTCCTGCAGCTCAAGTTTGACCCCGAGATGCTGTTCAGCGTCCAGTTCCAGTACCGCAACCGCATCGCCATGGAGTTCAACCACCTCTACCACTGGCATCCGCTCATGCCCGACTCCTTCCAGGTGGGCTCGCAGGAGTACAGCTACGAGCAGTTCTTGTTCAACACCTCCATGCTGGTGGACTACGGGGTCGAGGCGCTAGTGGACGCCTTCTCTCGCCAGAGCGCTGGCCGGGTAAGCCTCAGGTGGCGGTGAGGGCGGCTGGGCTGGGGGACCCGAAGGCTGGCTTGCTCTGCTGCAGGTGGGGGTGCTGCCCCTTCTCCGGGCGGTGTGAGCACTCCTTCACGAACCCCCTGGCCCACATGTTCACGCAACCATAGCAGGCTTAACTGCAGGTGCTGGGGAGCCGGTGATGAACAAGACGGTGTGGCCATTGTGTCCTTGTCCTTTTGGTGCTTACATGCTAGAGGGGGTAATGGCCAGATGACAGCTAATGTCATGTGCACACTTGTGGGTGCTCAGTGCTTTTGAGGTGTTAGGAGAGTTGTCAGAGCAGGTTAAGGGCTGTAACACTGAGGCCGGCATTTGGTGCAAAGGTTGACACCCACATCCATACCGGAGGGCCTGGGTTCGAGTCCCCGCTCTGCTTCTGCTCCAGCTTCCTACTCTCATGCACCCTGGGAGGCAGCAGGTGATGGCTCAAGTACTTGGGTCCCTGCACCCACGTGGGAGACTGGGATTGATGTCAGGCTCCTGGCTCGGACCTGGCCCCATGGGCATTTGAGAGGCAAACTCAGCACATGGGGAGATATTTCTCTGTCTCTACTTCTCTCTGTCTGTATCTCTGACTTTGAAATATATAAAAAATAAAACAACAAAACAGAATTCCCATTAGGTGCACAACCTTGCTGATACCCTGATTTAAAAAAAGAAAGGAACCAGAGGACAGAAAGCTCACAGTGCTCTGGGAACTGAGGGCTGGGGTTATGGGCAGGGAAGTGAGCGAGAATCCGAAGGGTGGATGGGGGTTTCCCAGGGGAAGAGGTGGTGTCAACTGCAAAGGATTATGTTCCAGACAGACGACAGCATGGGCAAAGGCCCAGGGGTCAGAAGTCATGGAAGTTTAAGAACAGGTAGACATTCAGGGCATGGTGACATGCGTGAAAGTGTTTGTATGCAGTAAGTATTAAATGCTGACATATTTATTTGAAAGAGAGAGCGAGAGCTTCCATCTACTGTTTCCCTCCCTAAATGTCCACAACAGCCAAGGCTTGGCCAGGCCAAAGCTAGGAGCCAAAAAGTCCATCTGGGTCTCCCATAGGGGTGGCAGGGACTCAGGCACTGGGGTCATCACCAGCTACCCCCCAGGAACTGTAAGAGCAGAAGCAGAGCAGCCGGGGTGAGAATTGTGTGCTCCAATATGGAGTGTGGATGTCTCGAGCAGCGGCTTAACCAACTGCACGACACCCACCTCTGAGGGGCTGCAGGGTATGTTCCCCCCAGTTCATTGTGGAAATCCTGACCCCCAGTAGATCACCCTGTAACTGCATTTGGAGGCGGGGTCTTTGAGGAGGTAATTAAGGCTAAACGAGGTCAGCAGCGTGAGCCCTAACCCGATGTGACCACTGTCCCTAGAAATGGAGGAGAGTTGGATGGGACACCCCTAGAAGGGGCAGCCTGTGGAGAAAGATAGGGCAGGCCGAGGCGAAGGTCCCAGGGGGAACCTCCCTGCTGACAGCACTGATGGTGGTCTTCCAGCCTCACAGGGTGGGGGAATCAACTTCGGTTGTCTCAGCCCCCTTGGCTGTGGCGTCGTCACTGGCTGTTCCCGCGAACAACCACAGCTTCTTTCCCTGGGATTTCTAATTGACGCCCTCTTTTTTTGTTTTAAGATTTATTTATTTATTTGAAAGGCAGAGTTACAGAGAGGCAGAGGCAGAGAGAGAGAGAGGTCTTCCATCCACTGGTTCATCCCCCAAATGGCCGCAGCAGCCAGAGCTGGGCTGTTCCGAAGCCAGGAGCTTCCTCCGGGTCTCCCACGTGGGTGCAGGGCCCCAAGGATTTGGGCCATTCTCCAGTGCCTTCCCAGGCGCATTAGCAGGGAGCTGGATTGGAAGTGGAGGGGCCGGGAATCGAACCAGTGCCTATATGGAATACTGGCGCTGCAGGCCTGGGATTTTTCCCACTGTGCTACAATGCCAGCTCCTAATTGACTTCCTTTCCACTTTCCCTTCTCCTCCCCATTTGGGAGTTTCTATCTCCTTCCTCCCAGCGCCCAGAGCCCTCCTTCCCATCCGCGACCTTTTGTGCAGTGGCACTGTGCGGATTTAGCTTTCCTCCAGGAGATTTGCCTGAAATTGGCATACGCTGCTGCCAGTGGGCAGCTGCGGGCTGGTTTGTGGCCTCTGGACAATGACAGAGACAATAGCCACTGTACGGGCTGCACGGTCTCCAAGCACTTTCAGGGTACAACCAGGATGACCAGCATCATACCAGTGTCCCCCGTGTGAGGTGGACTGCATCAGAGGCGTGATGCGCCGAGGGGACTCCGTGTGAGACATGACCAGAGGGCTTCTCCCAGGAATCTGCACGCCCGGCCACCCTCTGCAGGTTACCGTGTACCCCACGCATGACATCGGCTCTGCATGCTTATTCTGCTGTAGTTGACTACCACCGTGTCAGGTGGTTGCTCTGAACAGCCCCATTTTTACCTAATGAAGGAATTCAAACTTAGCGCAAATGCTGCCTGAGGTCCCTACATTCTTCTCCCTAGGGCTGCCCTAAAAGGGACCCTCGACTGGGTGGCTTGAAACAGCCCAAACATGTTTGTTCACAGTTCTAGAAGCCGGAAGCTGGAAATCAAGGTGTCAGCAGGACCGTGCCTGTCTGCAGGCGCTAGGCAGGGCAGTGTTTGTTCTGTGGCTTTCTCTTAGCTTCCGGGGGTGGGGGTGGCTGACAACCCTTGGTGCTCCTTGGCTGACATACATCCCTCCCATCTCAGCCTCGTCGGCACCTGGGGTTCTCCTTGTGTCTGTCTCTTCTTATCTTGCAGAGACACCAGTTACTGGACTAGGCCCACCCCTCTCCAGTATGACCTCATATTTTTTTTTTTGATTTATTTATTTACTTGAGAGGCATCATTATGGACAGAAAGAGGGAAAGACAGAGAGAGAGAGAGAGAGAGAGGGAGGTCTTTGATCTGCTGGTTCACTCCCCAAATGGCCGCAACAGCTGGAACTTGGCTGATCCAAAGCCAGGAGCTGGGAGCTTCTTCCGGGTCTCTTTCATGGGTGCAGGGGCCCAAGCACTTGGACCATCTTCTGCTGCTTTCCCAGGCCATCAGCAGGGAGCTGGATTGGAAGCAGAGCAGCCGGGTATCAAACCAGCACCCATATGGGATGCTGGTGCCACAGGCAGATGATTAACCTTCTACACCACATGTGTGACCTCATCTTAACTTGATCACATCTGTGAGGACTCTGTAGTAGTCACCCTCTCCCATGGGGGACATGTTCCAACAAGACCACTAGTGGATGCCTGAAACGGGAACCAGTACCAACCCCTGTACATACCGTGCATACAGAGTCCAATATAAATTAGGCACAGTAATAGATTAACAACAGTAACTTATAATAAAATAGAGCAATCATAGTAGTACACTGAAAGTAAATATCTTACTGGGTGTACTCCTCCTTTTGGCGGTGACCAAAAAGGAATGAAATGCTCTATAATGCCTATGTGGTGAGCTGAAGTCAGGGGACGATGTAGGCCTCGTGATGTAGCTTAGGGGTGTACTCACAAGCACCAGGAGACCATAGCAGTCAACCAAAAAAGTGAGATGCATACTAAGTGACTTATGGCGAGGTAGGGTACACAGTATGGATGCGGTGAACAAACGGATGATTGATGAACAAGGCAGGAGTGGGGATGGCATAAGATTTCACCACACTTCCCAGAGGAGTGTTGCGATTTAAAGCCTTTATGTAATGTGTTTCTGGAAGTTTCCATTTAATAATTTCAGACCATGGTTGATAAATGCAACTGCAGAAGGTGAAATTGTGGATAAAGAGGGACTACCATGTTTATAAACAAGGTCTCATTTGCAGGCCTCAAGACATCTTTGAGGGGGTTGCAATTCAACCCCCAACAGTCCTACAACTTGAAAATGGTTGAGCTGGGACTGGGGCCAGTCCCTGTTTGCTTTGCTCCAAGGTGTACGAGTTTCTGCCCCAGTTACACTTGCTCTGTCAAAGCAGAATTTTCTTCAGTGTTAACATTGTCATTTCTTCCTGAGCAGTGGAGTTCTCTTTAGACCCATGGGCCTCAGCTGTTATGAATCAGAATGTTTTTTTTTTTAAATATTTATTTATTTGTTGAAAGGCACAGTTACAGAGCTGGGAGGTGGGGAGAGAAATTTTCCATTGCTTCACTCCCCAATGACTGCAGCAGCCGGGGCTGGGCCAAGATGAAGTCAGGAGCCAAGGACCTCCATTCATGTCTCCCACGAGGGTGGCAGAGGCCCAAGTACTTGGGCCATCATTAGCTGCCTTCCTAGGAACATTGGCAGAAACCCGGGTCAGTAGCAGAGGAGCCAGCACTCCGTTCTGTGTTCCAGTATGGGATGTGGGGTCCCAGGCCACAGCAGCTTAACCCACTGTGCCACAACGCTTGCCCCCACGAGTGAGAATCTTTTTCTGGAGACTTCTTTATCTCACCAGGTTACTGGGCTTTGAACCCTGTTTTCCCTCCCTTCACAGGGGAGATAATACAGAGGACTGGGGAACACCGTGAGCCGAGTCCCTGTGGGGGTTCTCCCAGCCCACTGCACACTGGCGACTCAGGGAGCGTGGCAGTGAGAGGCCAGATCCCTACCATCGTGGCTGCTGGGTCGGGCCAGGCTCTCCGTCCTGGCTGGGGCGGGACATGGGTCTTGATGTTCTTGAGAAGCTCATACGGGCTCCGGGACGGCCCAGCCTGGCCTGGCTGTTGGACCACAGCGGTGTTTGTCCCTCTGCAGATCGGTGGTGGCAGGAACATTGACCACCACGTCCTGCACGTGGCCGTGGAGGTCATCAAGGAGTCTCGAGAGATGCGGCTGCAGCCCTTCAACGAGTACCGCAAGCGGTTCGGCTTGAAGCCCTACGCCTCTTTCCAGGAGCTCACTGGTGAGCAGCTGGTTCCCAGACACAGTCCCCGCCCTGGGGGAGCTCAAGGAAGGGGGGCATCAAGGAGACAGGGTGGGACCGTCCCTGGGATGTGGGGAGTCAGGAGTGGCGAGGGCAGAATGGGCGTAGGTGTGGCTTCCAGCAAAGGGTTTATGCTGAGGGCTCGGTTAGTGACGGGAGGTTGGCACCAGACAGGATTCCATGCTAGAGCTTTGGGGTTTATTTTACCTAGTGGTTCATAAGTACACATGGATGGGCCAGCTGCATAAGAATCATTTAGAAAGTGGATTAAAATACAGAAAATCAGACACCTTCTCAGAGGTTCTGATTCAGTAGACTTGGGTTCTGCCCAAGAGTCTCACTGTATGTGTGTGTGTGAGTGTGTGTGTGTATGTCTGTATATGTATATATCTGTATGTAAACACCACACACACACACACACACACACACACACTCACACTACCTGACTGGCAAACTTTACTGCAAGTTCCTCACTCATACACTCACATACACACACTCACACAAGCACACACACATACATACACACAAATGTATACATAGTTTTTCCAAGATTCCCAGATGCTGGGTGGCCCAGTTGAGAACCCTTATCACAGCTAATGGGGAGCCACTGAAGCCAGACTGTGACCTGAGCTGTGCCCAGTGCCCTGTGAAGCATGGATTTGAGGAAATGGGTAGAGACGCTCGTGTCGGTGTCCTCATGGTCACTACGTGTGAGTGTGTACTTGTCATGGGGTGGAATCATTGATCCTGGGATCTATGCACGAGTTCCCCACTCCTTGTTACACTTGAATCCTCCGTGACAGATGTGCCAGAGGGAAGACTGTCGCTGAATTTCTCTGGGAGCTTGGACACGTTACCTTGTATCTTTGATCTCGGGTAGATTAAATGGACTCAGACCAGGATGAGAGACCCTGAAACTTGCCTGTGACAGAGGCAAGATGGGTCGTGTTCTCCTTGTAATGACCAGGTGATCAGGTCCCGGAGAAGTCACACACTGCTGGGGGCAGGTCTGGGTGCCGTGACTCTCCTTCCATAGCGCATGCCTCCCGAGTCTCAGTGCAGGACAAGGGGCAATATTTCTGCTTTCCTTCCTGATTCTTCCCCCTAGCGCCAGCAAGGCCAAAGTCCAGGGCATTTGTCCAGTTGCCCAAATTGCTCCTCTAGAGTCCCTCTTGTCCCAGAGAGACAAGGGTCCCGAAGCTTCCCGTGGCTCTGACTCTGGCTTCTCCCGCTTGTAGGAGAGACAGAGATGGCAGCGGAGTTGGAAGAGCTCTATGGAGACATTGACGCCTTGGAATTCTACCCGGGGCTGCTTCTGGAAAAGTGCCAGCCAAACTCCATCTTTGGGGAGAGCATGATCGAGATTGGGGCTCCCTTCTCCCTCAAGGGTCTTTTAGGGAACCCCATCTGTTCCCCAGAGTACTGGAAGCCAAGCACATTTGGTGGCGAGGTGGGCTTCAATCTCATCAAGACAGCCACACTGAAGAAGCTGGTTTGCCTCAACACCAAGACCTGCCCCTACGTTTCCTTCCGTGTGCCCCGCTCCAGTGGGGACGATGGGCCTGCTGCAGAGCGGCGATCCACAGAGCTCTGAGGGTTCAGGGAGGCAGATTCCCGAGGGTAAAGCTCTGTGCTTGTCATTGTGGAATGCCGAGCCAGGCGCACTAGTCTTCAATGTTGGTCTTTCGGCTTGGCATTGTGAATGTTGAGGCTGACATTTAGGCCTTTGCGTCTCACCTGTTACCAGAATGTTGTAATTTTTGTCATTCAAGAATACTGAGTTTCTGGTTAAGTCATCAGAGTGTTAGGGGTGGCTCTCATTTGGCCTACCAGAACACTAGCTCCTGGTTGACAACTTAGAACGTCATTAGGCGTTCTAGAATATGGCGCTCCAGAAAGCTAGGGGGTTACTTGGCATCCTAGAATCTGGGCTAATCTGATTCAGAACAGAAGAACCTAATGCCCAACAAGAACAAGAACGCATTGCCTGCGCCTGTGCCTGCACTGAGGGGACGAGGTGGTGGGGTATTCTTGTCCACTTAGACCCTGGTCCAAGGAGGTAGAGAGAACAGGTGATTTTTTTTTTTTTTTCCGACACTTTTGGTTGGAAGCCACCGGAGCTCTGTTCCCATCCAGGGCTGAACTCATGGCAGCTGTTTCTCATGAAGCTAATAAAATTCTCTTTCCAAAGTTGCCTGTGTTGTGCGTTTTTTGGGTCCATCTGGAAATGCAGCAGCAACATTCTCCGAGCCGCCGCTAGGTGCGCTAGAGATGGCGGCGTGCAGCTCCCTCCTGGAACCCCGTGTCCTCAGTGTGCAGATGACTTTCCACGGTGCCGTCACTTCTGCCCATGGGGCAGGCGTTGCCCTTCCCCCACGACTTTCCCAGAACCCTCATCCCCAGCCCCAGGAGATGCAGCGTTAGGTTCAATCAAAACCAATTCCTCCCGTACAGAGCGTTCCGAGATGGGGGGGGGGGGGGCACCTGGGTACGCATGCACTTAACTGCGCATGCACAGTCCTCGACAGCGGTGGTATGGGGCGCACGGCACAACCCCCACTGCGAACCGGAGGGATGTGAGCCTCAGAGTGGCCAAGCGTGGCGTCTGGCCAGAGCCAGGCTTGCAATCCTGCTCCGGCTGAGCCCAGGCTCTTCGTGCTTGCTGGCTTGGCTCAGAGTCAGGGTCACAGACAGGAGGGTGGAGTGTGGCCTGCATTTAAATGAATTCAGGCACAAATATTTATTTTCCTAAGTGCTTATGTGTGCCAGTTCCTGGACCTGGCTTAAGAAATCAACACACCCAAGGCTGCTGTCTTGGTCCAGCCCACCCTCCAGGGGGCTTATGCTGATGATAACAGACACTTTCAAGGTTAGTGGGGCTTTCCTTCCCTCCAGGCTCTCTCCTCTCCGGCTGCATTCCCCACATCAGAGGGTGATCTGAGAGGGGACAGCCCCTTTTCCTTCCAGTTCTAGTACTGGGCTCCCCCGGACCCAGCTGAGAGAGAGAGAGAAAGAGAGAGAGAGAGAGAGAAACACACAGCGGGGAGGCAAGAGGTTGGGAAAAGATCTTTAGTACTCCACTCTTTGAGCTTAGCATTTCTCAGGAATAATTATGGCCAAGAAGCAACAGGGGGCATTGGGGGTCAGGCACTCTGTCCCTGGGGCTGGGCCTCTCGCCTTATAGCCCAGAAAGCTCTCGTTTCTCCCTGGCTCTGTTGGATGGCAGAGTGGGGTCCTTTCCTGCTGCCCCGATTGCTCCGGTGTGGAAGGTTCCTTCTGGTGCTGGAAGTGGGCACAGAGCAGTTGTCTTGTCCTGGCTTGCTCAGTATCCAGTCCCCTCCACGTTGCCTGAACTCAGTCCTGTGGTTCTGTCAGGGGTGTATCCTGGCCCGGGAGGGGGCCTGTGAGTGAACACCACACAGCCACATCCTCTCATAGCAAGTTGGCCTGAGTGGAGTTCCACGGAGATGGAGATGTCTGTCTCTGATTCACCCCCACAGCTGGGCTCCGGACAGAGCACCCATTTGTTTTTGCTTGCAAGATCCCTAGGGAAGCTGGGATCCTGACCTCATGGCAAACTTCCCCTTTCACCCTGTGTGCTGTTCCAGGAATTCCTCTCTTCTGTCAGTCGGGGTTGGCGTCTGTCTCTTGCTGAATGACCGTTGGCAGGGGTTGGGGGGTGGCACAGAAGCACCCCAGTGACTCTGGGGGGACTCTGACTTAGGGAAACCACAGTAGGACCAGTGTTTTACAAACAGTGCCGTCTGGTAGGGTGGCGGAGTGGAGTGGAATCATGGGATGCCGAGCAATGATGGCGGCTGGGGCCAGGTGTAGGTGGTAGGTGGGTGCAGCCAGGGAATATACTCTGTTGAATGCAGGTGTGTGGTGTGTGGACCAGGTGGCGCTTGCTTGGTTAGTGTGAACAGTTGTGTAAGAGCTGTTTGCAAATGGAAATGCGTCCATTGCAGCCAGAAGGCTTCGTTAGAGGGGAGGATCTCAAATGCCCGTACTTGCAGCTTTCGTTCTTGGAGTTTGGATCTGGTGGGTGTGAGGGCTGCTTTTCTGAGCCAACTTGGCTGGGCAGAGCGTCCAGGTATCCAGCCAAATCCTAATCTAGGTGTGGCTGTGAGGGTGTTTTGTAGATATGGTTGATACCTACTATCAGCTGACCTGGACTAAAGCTGATAGCCTGTGATAACAAGGGCGGGGCTTGTCTAATCAGCGGAGAAGCCGTAGGAACTGCAGTCTGCCAGTGAAGAAGGCATTCTGCTACCAGGCTGCAGCTGCAGCTCCTGCCTGAGTCTGTAGCCTGCTGACCAGCCCTGAGGATTTCAAGAATTGCGTGACCGGCTCCTGAAGATAAAGCCAAGTGTGTGTGTGTGTGTGTGTGTGTGTACTTCAGAAAGTTCATGGAAACATGGAAGGAAAAGAGAAGTTTACAGCTGGCGTTGTGATGCAGCTGCAGGTTAAGCTGCTGCTGGTGATGCCAGCATCCCATATGAGCGCTGGTTTTAGTTCTGGCTGCCCTGTTTCCAATCCAGCTCACTGCTATGTGCCTGGGAAGACGGCAGAAGATGACCCATGTACTTGGGCCCCTGCCACCTATGTGGGAGACTCTGGGTGGAGTTCCTGACTCCTGGCTGCAGCCTGACCCAGGCCTGGTTGTTGCAGGCATTTGGGAAGTGAATCGGCAGATAGAAGATTCTCACTCTTGCACTCTCTCGCTCTGTGTGTCACTGTGTCTTTCAAATAAACAAGTCTTAAAAGTGTTTTGCAGCAAAAATAAATGTTTTTTTAAATCTATGCATACTTTTTCATAATATACATTTCCCATGAACTTTCGAAAGACTCACATGCACACACACACACACACACACGCATATGTGGGGTGGGGAGGGCTTCAGAATGTCTGAGGAGAAATGAATGAAAAGATAACAAATGGGTGTGTGTGTACTTATGTATATGGGTATGTATTCCTTCTCTGTATATATAATCTGCATAAACATAGATGAATATGCATGGATTTTTCATTTTTTTGCACCAAAATAAACTTTAAATTTTTAATCAGAATTTTAACTTTTTTAGTTTTTAACATGTTCAGTACAGTTCCTAGATAGAGTTCTGAGAATATAATGGTGTTCCCTTTCTCCTTCCCTCCTTCCCCTTCTCTCCCTCCTACTTTAATTTTTATCTTTTAATTCCCTTTCCCATGAACTGTCTGGGGGCGTGTATGCTGATGTTCTGTGGTGTCTTTCTCTGCAGGGTCCTGGCTGACACAGTGGGTGGTTTACTCAGGGATCTCAGTGCCAACGACAAACCCCTCTAGGCCACTGATGCAGGAGGGCAGCCGTGGGGGGACCTGCGGGCTCCAAGCCTGGGAGCAGTGGCTACTGGTCCAGAGAAGATGCCTCTGGTGCTTGTGTCACCAGATGCAGGCATTTCAGATGGCCCCTTTGCTGTCAAAAGCCTGCCACTGCTTGTCCTGGAACCTCCAGGCAGCCTTGCCAGGAAATGAATTCTGTGTGGTTCTTGCTTTCTCACTTTTCCCTACGTAGGGTTATCTCTATTTTGCATCAGATTGGTGATGCCTGGCTCAAAACGTCTATACTCCAGCTCCAAGAGAGACTGGGGAGTGATTTTTCTGGTTGTGTGTTGGAGAGGGGGGACCCATAAGGCAGGACATTTCCTACTCATAGGATGGGTGTTTGCAGGGGCAGGATGCATGGGAAGCCTCCCTTGGTGGGGCTGAGTTTTCTAAGGGTTTTCTGAGGGCTGCGTTGCCTCTGTGGGCCCTGTTTGGAACACCACGAAGATCATCACCATGGCACTACTGACCAGGCAGCAATAATTCAATGTAGTTGCAAACAAAGTGCATGAGGAGATATGGTTTGCACACACAGAACAGCAGAGAGCAAAGACTACGGAGCACACAACTGCCTTTTCAAGGTTTGAGTGAACAAGTGTCAACTATGTTACACTCGCTGACAACCCATTTCCCTACTTCGGCCTGCTTTTTCTGTAAGAATGGACTCTAAATTAGAGCATCTGTGCATGGATGGCAGTAAAAGACACTAAAACTTAAAAAATGCTTTTCATGGATTCCATAAGGGAACGACCATGAAGCACTTTCTTCACTGTCTTACCTGTTATCCTTGTTTCCTTTAAAGTTGCTTTCCCACTAGAAAAGTTCTTCTTTTCACTGCTGTTTGCTGGTTCACTTCCTAAACTGCCAGGCAGAGCTAAGCCAGGCACTTGGTCTAGGTTTCCCAGGTGGGTGGCAGGGACCTGGTTACTGAGCTACCACTGCTGCCTCCTAGGGGCTACATTGACAGGAAGCTTGAGTCAGGAACCCAGGCACTCTGATATGGGGCACAGGCATCCCACCCAGTGTCCTGACCCATAGGCCAGCTGCCCACCCCAGTGCACTACCCCTAAGTGCACACCTCTGATTTATTTTCATATGCAAACACCCAGGAAATCATGATATAGAACATTCTGAGCACTTTTTTTTCTTTAAATTTATGCATTTGAAAGTCAGAGTTACATGGGTGAGGGGGAGGAGAGACAGACAGATATCTTCCATCTGCTGGTTCACTCCCAGATGGCTGCAATGGCTGGAGCCAGGCTGGTCCAAAGCCAGGAGCCAGCAGCTTCTTCTGGGTCTCCTTCATGGGTGCAGGGGCCCAAGCATTTGGGCCACTTTCTGCTGCTATCCCAGGCATGATAGCAGGGGGCTAGATTGGAAGTAGAGCAGCTGGGACTCGAACTCATATGGATGCTGGCACCACAGGTGGTGGCTTTATCTGCTACACCACAGCACCTGGCCCCTCTCAGCACTCTTGAATGCTCTTTTATACTCCTTACCAGTCAACTTCCCTAAAATATCACTACCATTCTGACCTTTGTCACCATGATTAGTTGTGTCTATTTATCGACTTAATTTGAATAGTCATCCAACGTGATTTTTTGGGTCTGACTTCATTTGCTCAGCATAATGTCTGTTGACATCTGTGTTTCCATGTGTACCAGTAGTTTGATCACTTTTATTGCTGTGTAAACGTTTAATGTAGATACCACAGTTGATTTATCTAGTCTACTGTTGATGGATATTTGGGTTGTTTCCATTTTTATTTATTTATTTTTTTGACTCTTAAGAGAAAGCTGCCTCCATGGCACATTTTAGCCCTTCTAACCAGGGCTCTGACTTGAGCACCATCTTTCGTACACATTGATTATGGAAAGTGGTTCCCATTCTCTATTCAAAACCCTCTTCTGTGTCTTATCTTGCTTTACGGCTTGATGGAAAGAGCATGGATTCACGAGCGTCCATGCACCACTACAGGAGAATGGGAACACACATTTCTCAGGCCAAGTCCTTCCTCTGCCTATTTCATGCAACTCTTCCCGACAGCTCCATGAGCAGATTTTCCTGTTTCACAAAGGAGGAAGTTGAGATACAGAGGAATTAGATGACTCATCTAGAATCCTACAGCTACGAAGTGGTGGGAGGCAGCCCTGAAATCCCCCAACGCACGCCATCCAGGTCAGGCAGCAGCAGAGCCACAGTAGGGACAGGGGAGAGAAGGCTGCAGTGATGTGGTGGGCGTTGGATGCTGATACACCTCTAAGTGATTCTGTCAGCAAACTTCCGCCGGAGACCTCGGCACTGGGCGCATGAGTGCATTGTGCCACCTCGTGGGCATCTCTCCTCTTCAGATGGGTGGCATTTTTCTTTTCTCTCCAAAATCACTTTTCCCAGGTGTGCTCTCTCCTTTCGGGTCTGTGACTTGCCCTCTGCCCACCACAGTGACATTCACTGAGGGAGCTGGGAGCATGGCTCTACAAAGCTACACCCCTGCTGTGCACTCA